CCAACTCCTAACATTCTGTGACTCTGTGAAAAGTATTTAAGAATGAGTTTATCTCCTAGAAAAAAAAAAACAAACCAAACAAAACTGTCTTTATTTAATTTATGAATATTAATAATCATGACTGTATATTAAGAAAATCATCAGCTCTAGATGATTTGATGTTTGTTATTACAATTTTTGTGCTGAAAACAATTTTGAACTTCAGTGATTAGATCTAGATTAAAAAGCATAATACCTAATTACACACCTACCTCTGTATTCCCTCAACTAAAGCAACTTCATCAGGTGATGAGGAAATATATATACAAGATCTTCTTGAGAGGCGGTTTTTCTTCAATCCATCTACACTGTCATCATCTTTCACCTGAACAGTGTGGCAAAGACAGAGGGCTCGGAAAAATAAGTCCTCTCTCTCCTAAAAAATAAAATGAATGTTTGTCATTATATGTGATCACTTTAAAGTATTCTTTTGAAAACTTTTTTTTTTGGAAGGTTAGCAATGACATTGATTATTATTATTATCAGATAAAGGCAGTGTCACAGCTCCCCTGCTCTTCAGTGGGAGCCAAGTCTTTCCCAGGGGTAACCACACAACTGTTTAATAGCTGCTGGTGCTACCAGCATTGCCATGCAAGTCCAGCTGCTGATGCCCAAAAAAGACAGTGTGCGTCTTTTACCTCCTTTGAGTGCCTAAATGTGGCCAAAGGTTTTTTTCTTTACTTTTGCTTAAACTTTAACAGCCTATATAAAATACCAGTCAAGGTACAGTTTTAGGAGTCCTAAGTCCAGACAGAGGAACACAGCACCTGGAGCACAAGTGTTAACAGGCTTTACAGATTTCAGTTTCTTAAGCAGCTTGAACACCTCTCAGAGCTAGATAAAAAAAAGAGTGTGGACATTTTAGCAGCTGGAACCAACAATTTCTATAAAGTTTCAGAAGGTTTGGTAGTGACAACTTCTGACACCAGAAAGATTTCTATTTCATAAAGACCTGTCTGTGTTCTACCTGCTTCTTTGTGTTTGAATTTTTCTTCTGTGCTGTTCAACACAAACTGTCTATGTCATTGTAATTCCAAGATAAAACTACAGCGTATCTTGGGACCACAATCTGGGGGCCATGGGTGAGGCCATAAAGCTGCTGAATTACACCAATGTACTTTAAGAGGCCTTGTTTTGCCAATAGTGAAGGGTACAGCCAAAGTATGATTCTCGAATCTGTACTGAAATATTTAAAAATACATTTGTCCTCTGGCTACAATTATCCTGCCTGTTTACACCCTGTTCATTAGTTGACATGTGAAGTCTACTCAACTTTCACCTAACTTTGCTTTACACAGGAAAAAAGTCACAGCACATTTATGCTCTGTGTAGCACATCTGTGTAGCCACAGATGTGGCTATATTAAGCCACATTTAAAAGTAATTTAATTGGATGATAAATCATTCTCTGGTCACATCTTCTCTTGATGATGACTAAGTAAGTGTATGCATTGAGCATTCATTTTCCCCCATGAGGAGTTTTCTGCCTTGCCTTCCCTATTGTAGCTAATGTTAAATGGAAACCAGCTGTTACGTTTTTTTAGCTATTAACCAGAGAGATTTCTATATTTTGGGGTTTTATTTAATTCAGTTTTTCAGCTGCAGTAAGGTGGAAACTTCCTATTAAGCCTTACTAGGAAAGGAAAATGTCTATGTTGTGATGCATTTCCTGCAGCTTTCTACTTTGATTAGTGAAATTCAAGGATGTTATATTTCTAGTATCCCCTTCACCAGTGAAATTCTATTTTCTTGTTTCATTATAAAAAACAAGAACCTAGAAAGAGTCATCATACCTTTCCACTTCCTCCTGGAGAGGAATCGATCATATCAATGCCTGTACAATCGTGGATAATTTGGCCATTGCAGATAACATGTGGTACATAAACGTGCCCTTCAATGCAACATTCTACAAACTCCATGTTGTTCTCAGTTAACGTCCCTGTTTTATCTGTGAAGACATACTCAATCTGCAAATGAGCACAAATTAAAAACAGCAGGATTTTCCAAGGTCTCTTAACAAAACTATTATTATTACTGGGTTACACTTTTAAAAGATCCTTCTGCTGGCTCTTTCAGAAAAGGAAGACAATTTCTTTTGGGAGTCATCTTCCACAGAAATGTGTGCCCTGAAAGATTTTATCACACAAGAGTATCATCAAAGCTATCTTTTGCCTCATAACACATATAAAGAATGTGTTTAACCAACTTTCACTGTTCCCTCAAGCTCCTCTTTGGTTTTTAATGTCTGTCTTGCTGCAAGATAGATATTTATGGAAACAAAATGCACACAAATTCCATATCCCAGGGATCATTATTTAATGTACGTGCCTAGATTTGGATCAGTTACTGTCAGAACAGTCCTCAGGGTAGTATCAGAATTCTGCACTACAATTATGTTAGTTGAAATGTACTCTGTACTAATGGTTACATAGTTATACATATGGGCACTGTTACTGCCCTGGAAACATTTCTTTTGTCTCAATATTGAATATTTCATTAACTTTATCTTTTACAATGAGCCCCAGAATGTAAGAACCAAAACGTGAACTATAAACCAGAATTTTTGGATATTGGATACAGGTATTGTATACAGATTTCATGTATGTGTTTGATTAACTGAGAGCATTATATAAGGTTAAGGATTAAACATTAAAAGTAAGGCAATTATTTAGTAATTGTCAAATTGTTTAACAAACATCAACATTTATCAAGTGCATCAAACAAAAGAAAAAACACATTTTTGTGCTCAGTCATAAAAGAAGTTATTAAATATGTGAACTTTCCCCCTAGATTGACTTTTCTAATATTCATTAATCTAGAAAGGCAAGTTTCCAAATTTTCCAGTGGTTTGTTATCTGTGGAGACAATACCCATATACAACTTTTTTCAAAGTGGTCAGGACTTATATGGATTTCTTTCGTCTTAACTCCTATATTCAGTTTCACAATACATTCATACAAGATACAAAATGCTATCAAGCAAAGGTCTTTTATTCATTCAGTGTCCTGCTTTGGGATCAACATTCACTACATGAAAACAGGAATAAAGCATGTATATCACTATGACAGATTTACTACAACCAAAAATAAGGACTTGCAGTCAAAGCCTTCATTAGAAATACATTGTATAACACCTTTCAAAAATGTAGAAGCAAAATTTAGTTCATTGGATTGGTACTAATAATATCAAGTACTGATGAAGATCCCATTCTAGGAATGACACTTAATTTTAGTAGTAGCAAGTTATTTTTTATAACAGAATCACAGAATGGTTGAGGTTGGAAGGCACCTCTGGAGGTCACCTGTTCTAGCCACCCTGCTCAAACAGGACTACCAAGAGCTGGCTGCCCAGGACTCATGTCCAGACAAGAATCATAGAATGCACTGGGTTGGAAGGGACCATTAAAGGGCATCTAGTCAAAATCCCCTGCAGTGAGCGGGGACATCTTTAACTAGATCAGGTTGCTCAAAGCCCCATCAAGCCTGACCTTGAATGTCTCCAGGGATGTGGCCTCCACCATTTCTCTGGGCAACCTGTTCCAGTGTTTCATCACCTTCATATTGAAGAACTTTCTAATGTCTAATGTAAATCTATCCTGTGTCTAGTTTAAAACCATTGCCCCTAGTCCTGCTGCTACTTGCCCTTGTAAACAGTCCCTCCCCAGCTTTTCTGTAGGCTCTCTTCAGGGAACGGAAGGCTGCTACAAGGTCTCCCCAGAGCCTTCTCTTCTCCAGGCTGAACAATGCCAACACTCTCAGAGAGCACCTCTTGATAGGAGAGGTGCTTCAGTTCTCTGATTATCTCTGTGGCCCTCCTCTGGACTCCCTCCAACAGTACCATATTCTTCTTGTGTTGAGGGTTCCAGAACTGGACACAGTACTCCAGGTGTGGCCTCACCAGTGCAGAGTAGAAGAGAAGGATCACCACTCTCCACCTGCTGGCAATAGTCTGTCTAATGCAGACAAGGATACCATTCGCCACCTTTGCTGTCAGGGCACATTGCTGGCTCGTGTTCAATTTGCAGGACCCCCAGGTCCTTCTCTGTCAAGCTGCTTTCCAGCTGGGTGGTCCCCAGGGTGCAGTGTGCCCCATCATCCAGATCATTAATGATCAGGACTCCCACTAGACTTTGTGCAACTCACCCCCACCCTCTGGGCCTGGCTCTCCGGCCAGTTTTCAGTCCACCTCACTCATCAAGCCCATAATTCATCAGTTTCTCCACGAGGATCTTGTGCTGACTGTCCCCCATAATAAAATACTCGGTACCACCTTTTATCCAAGCAGATATGTGTCCCTAAAAGCTTAATTACTAGTTTGGCTGTACAAAAATAATGAAATACACCATCTTATTTATTTATTTATTTGAAAACTTATGAAAATATTTTAATTCATAGAGATCCTAGATATTTTTGCAAAAAATATTCATGCATATCTGTGTCAAGGTGATGATTTTCTTAACACAGAATACTAAAGATAGAATTTCTTCTGGAAAATGAGAGTGACAGTCAATCATTTTACTGCATGAAACTTTTATCTGGAGATTTGGTGTCAGTCTAGCCAGACAGAAAGGGTTTTTTTCCATCTGACTTTCACTCTAAGGAAGTGAGGTGTTTATATAATCTCCCTCTATAGTCAATGGAGAGAAATTATTACCTTCTTAGACTGGTTATCTTTTACTAATATAACTAGCTGAAAAAATCAGAATTTTTTATTCTGAAAATCAGAAGATATCAAATCTTATTTTTAAAATTAATCAGCACTAAAGAAAACGCACACCAAGTTGCAAAACAAAAAATTTGAAGTAACAGTTTTAAATAAAAAATTATGGTAGTAGCAGCTGAAAAAATTATCACTCAATGAAATTTACCTGTCCCAACTCTTCATTGAGGTCAGAAGTATTCACCAGTGGTCCTTCACCTGTGTCCTCATCAAACATTTCCTCATCCCACGTAAGGAAATAAGAACCAAGAAATTTCTGCATTTCCACAGTGACATACATGGATACAGGAATAATGTAGTTGAAAAGAACCATGAATGCAAGGAAGTCTGTAAAAGCTCGAAGAAACTGCCAAAGAAACAAAATGAAAACATTGACTTTTCATGTATCATCAAAAAACAGAAGATGACTACATACATTTGCAACTTTTTTTTCCTCGTAACTTTCAAACAGTAAGCAACACTCTCTACAGCTCACATTCCAGCACAAGATTTATATCTTCATGATTTATAACATCACAATTAATTTGACATGAAGAAAAAAACATCTGTGTTTTAGTTTTGTGTTTTTCTTTACAGACATACAGGTGTATTGCACAGTTAGACATCACTGTTGGAAAGTTCTAGATCAACTAATGGGGGTGATTATATACAAATGGTGAACACCTGTATGAGAATGAGGATAACAATAAAATGCACATTTATAAATAACCACAAGAATACCATAAACCTAAAGTAACTCATTTAAGGATTACCAAATTACATAACTTTCAGGCAGCACTTCATTAATAAATAAAGGGTTCCTCTTACTTTTTCCAATACAAGCAGGATCTGTGCACATAACCTGGCTTGATTTTTTGACTGGTGGAGACCGGCTGTCAACCTGCAGAGCAGGCTGAGGTAGTGTCACTGGTGATAATGAGAAATCTGTAGCATGCTTGACTAGCATGTGCTTGCTCATCACGCACTTTGGAAAAAGAACTCATTTTTTCCCTAGTCTGATTGGAAGGATTTAGTGAAATAATACTATGCTTTCTGTAGTGCTGGATTCAGTTCATTCCTTTGGATCATCTGGGCATCCATTCTGAACTATGTCCTTGCTCCCATAAGGACAGTAGACCCTGGCAACTCTGTTGCTGGTTTCTGGTGCTGATGGCAGAGTTAGAGGGCTATATGAAACCAAGCTTTTGAGGGGTATTCTTACAGAGGTTCCTACAGAAGACTTTTTTGAACACATCTGTTATAGGATTGCCAACAGCTGTGGGATTCTTTTCAGTCCTCTATTTATCTACAAGAGGTCAGTTCTTTAGTAATTCATAACAAAGACAGGAAACTCCAAAACATTTTTATGAGGCTTTTTATACCAAAGTAGACATTTTCTCATGAGTTAAACTCACATATACAACTTAAGTGCAAAAATTTAATATATAAGCTTTCTATAAATATACTGTCACCACTGTTAGCAAAAAAAGCAACAATTTATGATTGACAAGTAAGCAGGCTGTATACACTTTTCAGTAGGATTCTTATAACTTAAGGGATTAGGGAAATTTTTTTTATATTTTATTTTCATACCAGATTTCTTTTCCTTTCTGGCTCTGTTTTCTGATTATACCATGGCTCATCACGAAACGGTTCACTCTGCCAGACATACTTCAAGACAGTATTTATTAGTGCTTTACTGATGAGAATACAGAGGTATACAATAAGGAATACATTCATTGATCTAAAAAGCAAAATAAAAATTCTATTAGCATATAAACTACAGAGTTTATTGAAAAATGTTATACTTATGCCTCAGCCTAACATTTGCTCTGACAATGCTATGATATAAAATAACTTCTCTACAGTGTTTTCCCAATGAAGACAAATATTATCAAGGACCATTTTCTATTTCAAATGTTAACTGCTATAATTGTTTCTAAAATGTGTGTAACACATTAGGAAACTTAGTATGTTAGTGAAAACAGTAGCATAGATGGAATTGTAACAGAATAACTGGACTGGTATCTGAAGACCTTTTTATGTAATTTCCCTGAACTAATATAAAAACACTCACATAAGTACTTTTATAGAAATCTATAGAGAATATTTTGCTATGTAGCTGCAATGGTTTAACACTTTATAGTCAGATCCGAAAAAACAGAGAGCAAGAGCACTTCACATTTTAAATTATATTTTCATTAATGATGGGCATGAACTAAAAACCATGGGTTATACATCAATAACAACAGAAAGAGACACATCATCATTGCTCAGTTGTTGCGTGAGAGAGGGGATGTCAATCGGTCAGTACATCTTGCCTTACTCTAACCAGTGAAAGAAAAGTAGTCTGGAACAGCAAAACACATCATATCTTAAGAAGCTAAGCCTTACATTAATGTGGCTTATTTTAACATTTAACATTTAATAATAATTCAGTATTGAGAACATCATATATATGGTGTTATATGACTAATTTTATAAGTAAAAAATGATACATAAAAAAGCAACAAATTTTAAGTGCCTCTACCTCTTTTTTAATGTAAATTGATGAAACATACACTTTTAGAAGAGAAAAAAATCAAATCCCCTTTTATTCACTATTCAAACACACAGTTTTTCACCCCCAAAAGAAATACTAGAAATTTTACTTTTCTACAGCAGATCGCTTCTGTGATTTTGACTGGTAATTTAATGCCATCTTAGTTTCCATGCCAGTGTATATAGCAACACCTGAAATGAGACAACTTATTTCACTAAAGATTGCACAGTACAATAATTTAATAAAAGGACAGTTCACTAGATCATTATACTACCATTTCTTTAATTGTATATAGTCTGAAGAAAAAGAACAAAGATTTGGATGATACTCAGAAACTGGAAATGGCTTTAATATCTTGGTTCTTAGAGGGATATTTTAAACAGGATTTACATCCCATTCTAGACTCACAGTTACCGATTACTAATATGCTGCTATGAATCAAAGCCAAACCAAAGCTGGGTTCTGAATACATCTCCTTGCATTTTTAAGTTCATTTTTTGGCTCTAATTTAGAATCTAAGTCATACATTGTAAAACAAACAAACAAAATCCAGACAGGGCTAAACTACAGGATACATCCAGGAAGAATAAAAGGCAAACATCAATTTTGCTTGCTTTGGGGAAATTTAATAATTCATTAAAAGAGTGATCTTTTGATACTACCAATTTTCTGTTGGTAACACAAACAGAGTGAGTAAACTTCAGAAGATTAAATACAACAGCTAAAAGAAGCTGTAAACAAAAAGATAGATTTAAAATACTTTTCAGACCAGCACACCTCTAAATTTCTAAAATAAAATAATTTAGGATATGCATTGTGCTGGGGTAATGGCAAACATTGTATATGTTAGGCAGACTAGAAACAACCACTCATATTAGGAACATCTCAGCCTGACACACAAGTTAACAGAAATATGAAAATCATCCTCTGAAGTTTACAGAAATACTACAAACTAATATATTAGTTCATCTAATTTAGATTACAATTAAAACCAAAGAGATCAAGTTTAAATTAATACATATTTTTAATGCTCTTTTTGGATAAAAAGTTGCAAGATTTTGGTATTTTTCACTCAGTAGTTCATGGCTATCTATGATCTTCTTTCTTAGGAGTATGGAAGTAGTATATATTAGAGGATGACTTGAATCTTTGTTCCTTTTGTCACCAGCAAACATATCTCAGTTTGTGCTTCCTATGTCTGCTAACATATTCAAAATTCTCCATAGAACAAAGACAATTCATTAAAAAATTACACTGGCTAGCAGAAAGTCTAATTTTGATTGGGAACAGTTTAAATGGATTTTTTTTTTAATCACTCATATTTATATCTGGTTGGAGTATCTGTTTATTTTGACAAATGAGCAAAACAGATCTAAATTATTTCAACAGGCTCATTAACTGCTTTGGACAAGAACAATAATTCACAGTGCTTATTCAAAAGCCATATATTTACATGAAGAAGTTGTGCCATCCTCACTACTACTTGGAAGACGAAACTGTAAAATCCACCTACCAAAAATCTCTATAGTCATTGTACATCATTAATAGTTACTTTACTGCAAACTTATAAAACAGTTGTAAATCAAGCCATTCAATAGAAATCATACGCTCAATAGTAACTGCAGGGTTGTAACCTTGTTTGATGTTCGCTTATTACTTCAGGGTCCATTTAAATAATCAATAGAAATATTTACCAAAGATTTTTTCTGTGTTCTTTAAAGTGGCTCCTCTAAGAAGCAGATTTTCAGATCCTAACGGCCTGCAAAAGATAAGTATTACAAAATACAAACGTTTAGAGAGAAAGAGCAGGCCTTAGCAGCAGCCATGTAAACCAGGAAATTAGATTTACTCAAATATTTTTATTTTGCGTAACAAGATTACTAGGCAGTATTTAAAGCTATCAAGTGAAAATTAAAAAAATACGCACAGATGCCTAAAATTGTACTCATAATTTCACAATTCAAGTCTTAAACCAGTGCATCTAAAAACCTTTCATTTACCTAATTACATCACTCAACCTGGAAAAGACAGCAGGATGCTCAGCAAAGGATGCCTACTCCGTGTAAGCAGGCAGTTGTCACTAGAACAGCTCACGTGGCCAGTGCTCTGCCTGACCCCCTTATCTGAGGGACCCCAGGAAAAATACAGACCACAGCTGCTGAGACAGTCACTCTGGACGCTGACTGATTTTCACACTGCTTTGCAGTGCAGTTATGCAGGTGTTTCCTGAGGGAGTTATGACACTGACACACTCAGCAGCCAGATTTCCCCTCCTCTTTGCTTATCAAGACAGAAAATGATGTATCTGCAGACACACTGAGATTAGGAAGGCATTTAGCCAGGATGGAGTAACTTCTCATATGCTGGAGTCTAGGATATCACTGGAGTGAGAAGCCTTTCCCTCCTATTGCTTTGCCTCTTTATGGCAAGGACCTGAACAAAATGAGGTACACAGCAAGCAAATCTCTTCCTTGCTGGTAGACAAGATCATAGGCAGAAAAGACAGGAAGACTCGTGCCTCTTTTGTCCTGCTTCATTTTCTTCTCTATGTGCTGGACAAGGAATGTCCTAGGCTACAGACTGCACCTTGAGCAGAATGCACTGCACTCACTCCAGGATGAAACTTACTTGCACAGGAGGCAGACACTTCTGGGTGCCAGACCCAGGGTAACAGATCACCATCTCCTAACACCACATACAAAATGCATTTCCCTGGATCTTGCCTTCCTGAACACACACACCACTGTGGACATTTTAGACATATCTACAACCCCCCTTAAAAAACTAAACATATTTGGCATGTTCAAACTCTTCAATTTCTAAGAAGAAACATGAGAGAAATACACAAGTGATACTATTCATACTGTTTGGTGCACTGCCAACACCCCATACTAATGGGTAGTATTGAACTGTCATAATCCTATCAACAACATTTACAAACTAAATACATGCCAAATAAAACCTGAAGTTGAATGAAGACATAAAGTAAGAGAAATCTGACTTAAATACGAAATATTTATGATATGTGAAATTACCATCTATAAACTTCTAAGAGGAAGACATTTCATCAGTAAGACAAGGCAGCATAATGTTGGTGAAACAAACGTCATTCTCATTACTGATACTGAGTCAACTCTAAAAATGTCTAAACGTGTAGAAATTCTGTTTTTTCCCTACCTTGCAGTAGGCTCATTCATATCATGGTAAACATTTATTCGACCAACAAATCTGTAAAGGAAATATACAAGTGGTTCAACAGCACTGCTGATTTGTCTACTCTTACTTATATATGTCCAAATATTTCAATTTTTTTAAATGTACATTACAAGGTCATGTAATTCTCTCTCTATACAGATGTATGTATAGCACACATGCATACTCAAAAAAGCAAATTTCTCTCACTTTTCAAATCTTTAAGAAGTATACATGAGGATAGATTGAGATGTATTTTGTATTTTTTTTTAATTACAGTGAGTAAGCAGCTTCTAATTCAGCATGCTCTGACTGTCCAAGAAATAAACAAGAACAGAGATACATACGGACATCTTTAAACCATGTAGACACAAAACCACACAGAACAGTAAGTCAACATAAAGTCCGCATATAATGATATAAAAGATTATAAAATTATGAATAAATTTTCTAATTGGACAAGAAATCTTATTCTCTAAACTACCTGAGGTAAGTAACAGTGTGATTACTATCCTGTACAAAAACTAAAACCTACAACTGAGTTAAAAGCAAAACAAAAGTATAAAGCCAATATGCAATCTTCCCTCTGAACGTCTCTAAGTACATTTTATCTATATGTGATGGGTTGACCCTGGACAGCAACTAAGCACCCAGTAGCCTCTCACTTGTTTCCTCCTCAGCAGGATAGGGGAGAGAATTGGAAGAGCCTAGGGAGATCTAGGTGGGATAATGACACTTTAATAAGTGAAGAAAAAAAACCAAGCAAAGCCAAGGCAACCACTCACCACCTCCAATAAGCTGACCAATGCCCAATCAGTCTCCAAGCAACAGCTACTTTGGAAAGACTACTCCCCAAGTTTCATTGCTGAGCATAACATTATATGGCATAGAAAATCCCTCTGGTCAATTGAGGTCAGCTGTCCTGGCCGTGTCCACTCCCATACTCTTGCCCACCCCCAGCCTACTTGCTGGGGGGACAGAGTGAGAAACAGAGAAAGCCTTGATGCTACAAGCACTTATCAGCAACAGCTAAAGCACTGCTGTGTTATTAACACTGTTGTAGTCACAAATCAAAAATGCTACTCCCCTTGGACTGCTGTGAAGAAAATTAACCCCATTCCAGACAAACTCAGTACACTGTATTTGCAATACCACTGTCCAAGTGGGTAACCTCAAACCAAAAGGGATTAAGCCAGACATGAGCATTCTGGATGGCAGAGGACACTGTGGGGAGTTGGTGGGCCTGTTACTCTGGAAGGGAACCTCTCAGGCTCAGAGGAGCAGTGACCTGTGTGCTGAAAGAACATACAACACAGTAGAGCCGCACCTAAAGGCACTCTGCAGTTCATTAAGATGCATCATGGTGTAAAATGATTGTGTGTCTTTGGAAAGAAAGATGTGGAACCAAACACTGTGGTTTGTTGAAAGCGTCAAGTAAAAATCAGCAGAGAAAAAAGCTGTCCAGCAAAAAGCTTTCTCATTATTCATGTGTCAACAGCTGTCCCAACAAATTCCACCATTGACAGTGGCATGAGCTTCATGAGCCAAATGTTCACTTCATGAGCCATGTATTTAAAAAAGGATCAAGTAATTCATGGAATTGGTTTCCTAAAGAATCTGTTCTCTTGCAGATTTCTAGACCAGCTCCTTGGTCACTGAGATCAGGGAAAAGAGATACCTCCGCACTACCAAGAAAGAAACCTCAAAATAGGCTTCTAAACACTTATCATTACGTTTAGTGAAATTTTGCACAGTACTTTTGTAAAATATCGAGTATTGCATGACTTTAAACATTGCTGAAAAATTGTCGAGGTTTTTCTTCATGTTCTGAATGTTTAGTTTTTAAATGTTTTGCTAATCATAATGGCTTCATACTATCAGTAGCTAATATCTCAAAGCACGTAGTGTGAGGTTGATCATTGATGGTAACATATATAAATCCATATTTCAAACAGTCTTGATAATTTCATTTTTTTTGGCTGACTTCTTGTCAGATCTGATTAAATTGGCACTGTTTTTACTTTGTAACATGACTGATGAAGAGCTCGTACTAGAAGTAGAAGCATTTGCCAACTTCTTGTTCACCAGTGCTTGCATTATTAGTATCTTCAATCTGTAGTTCCTTTGCAGGAATCTTTTTAAGCCACTTGACCATTTTGTGAGAGTTACCTAAGTTAGAACTAGATAATACAATCCATAAATCCACTTAACCGGGCACACATAAACTACAATACTTTGCAATACACCGAAAGCAAAGGAACAGGTGAGGGTGCCACTGGCAACCTCTTTGTGTTGCAGAGCACCCTCTCTTCGCCCAGGGACTCCTCAGAAGCTGTACGTGGCATGGAACTCTCTGACAGAGAGTAATGATGTCAGTGTCAGGAAATGTATTACCAATTAGTAATTACACAAAAATACATAGAAATTCTAAAATTTCTGTCATGCACCCCAATGGATCATCTTGTGCACCTCCCCTTGGAGACTGCTGTCCTATAGCAAAGCAGTGAACTACCTGCAGGAAAGGAGCATGGATGGTAGACTAACCTGACTTCAAGCTCACTCTGGGGCCCACCCTAAGCAGACAGATGCAGTCAGTATCTTTTCATTATGATACTCCAATAATTTATTGTTAGGGTACCTTAAATGAAACAGGTAAGAATTATTTTCTTACTTATAAAGGTCAGGCTGAGGTTGTTCACATTCAATGGTGGCATGTAGTGCATCAATTTCTTGTTCATTGTGAAATGCCTTTGTATCTTGAACAGCATAGTAAGTCTGGAATTAATAAAAAGGTGTCGATAAAATAAAAAAAGTAAGGAAAGATATACAAGACATTAATGTGCAAATACAGTTCAGTTCAGCATGAAAGATTTACTATCTTTTACATTAGAGTTCATAGTTCAAATAAGATACATCTCCTAATTTGGCATCTTCTTGCACTATATGCAAGTACTTTCCAGCATACCCACAAACCAGGTCACCATGTTAGCACATTTAAGCACAACAAAGTTTGTACATTATCTCTGTAATCTGCATGCCTATACTGGACACAGACAAAATCACCAATAAATATGTTTTAAAACTTTCCATAAAATAATGACACCTTAAGAGAAATGAAGTCAACTGGTAGAAATGTGAGTTACACAAGTTAGTGTATCTGCCCACATATAGAAGCATGAAGTCATATTGTGATCTGTGTAAAAAATTAAATGCAAACTTTGCCTTAAAAAGAAAATGTAGAATATTTTATTACTTTATGACTGGATTCACCATCCAAACTAGCTGTGGTAACAAAACATGTTCCATCTCCTCTACTACTTGATAGAAATATTAAGTCACATGGGAATGTTTCATCTTCTTTTACCATTACAATATCTCCAACCTAGGGAAAAACACAACAAAATACAATGCGTTTATTTCTGTAGCAAGCCAAATTTCAGATTTCAAACCCAAAACCTAGGATATTTCACTCAAATATCTTGAAAATTCATCAATTTTTATTTACACCAGGATTTTACCACAGGAGTAAAGAACTACAGAAATACCTCTGAAGAACTGAATTAAACCTTGTGGAATGACTGAAGTCTACCTTCCCTCTTAGGATAACCATTTTGCAGCATTATTTGAGAGACAGAGGATGCTATCCTTGTTTTAAGACTAAGTACAACAAAACATTGTCTCAGAAACAGCTGGAGATGTGAGCTACTCTCATTGGCTGTTGAGGGTAAGCATCTAGCTCCAAATATTATAATTAGAGCTAGCTGAAAAAGCTAAGGATTCCAAGTCTGCCCATGAAAACAAGATTCATTCTCAGCAGAATTTGTGACTGGAAGTCTAACCTATTTTTACCCATGTTTAAAAGTGAGCAAAATCTTTTTTATTAATTAAAACACAGGTGATATCTTACAGCTTGTTAAAAAGTGTCACAGAACAGCCAACCAACTATAAATTCAAAATACTACTGTAAATCACTCATTTGAGAAAAACGGCCTTTGATACATTTTTGGAGGACACCTTTCACAAAGGAAAATTTAAAAAAATGAACAAATGGTAAAGATATACTACATGTTTTAAGAATATCAAAGTTCCAATAAAAATCCCATCACAATATGTAATTTTTGTAATTTTTCACGCAGCTCAACATCTGTTCAATATGTTTTTATGTCATAATTCATTATTGTAAGATTCAACTTAATCATTGTTCTTGTGATATACTTATGAAGATAATTCCAATATCCTTACCAGCTGGCAGGAGTCAGTTAATTCTAATTAAAGATATAAAATCTGATAACAATCAGCAGTAGTAACATCTAAAAATAGAAGTGTGACAACTTCAATAAGATTTACTGACATGTACTGAAGAACTAGGATGATGATAATAAATGAGATTTAAGATCTCATAGATAAGAAAAAGGCTTTCTTTTAAATGAACATAAATGAAAAATTGCAGATTGTACATATGGCACAGAGGAATGCAAGTTGCTGAGCATACCCGCAACAGTCAAGTATGAAAATTAACAGAAACTTCAGTAAGAAATTTTCCATCTTTTGTGTAGATGATGGCATCTTTTTGAAAAGCATGACTTCCAGGGTATAAGTAAAGCTGTATGGTTTACTAATTTCCAGTCTCTGAACAAAAATTAGAGCCTTATAAAAACAGTATAATAACAATCAGCTACTCCATTTCTAGGGAAAAAAAGCTGCACTTTTAACCAATAATAAAGTTTTGAGCTGTTCAAATTTAAGAAGGGATTAATTTCCTCATGTACTTCCTCCTGATTAAATGACTTCTCACATATCATTTTGCAGATCTAGGGAAGTGAAGATACGCAGCAAAACAGGGGTAGGTTTGGAACTGGAGGCAGTGAATGCCTTGGCTGGAGCCAGCCTGAACAATACAGAGCCTTCATCTCGAAGAGCAGTGGAGTCTAGACTACCACTCAAGTTGCCTTAATTCTTCTAAGATGTGTCTACAAGAGAACTGACTTTTTGCCACCAAATCATTAATTACGAAAGACAGTGACATGATAAATTATAAACTGGTTAACAGCAGACGAGGAGAAAGCTGAGGTTCTCAACAACTTTTTTGCCTCAGTCTTCACTGGCAACCTCTCACCTCACAGCTCTCAAGTTGATGGCCCACAAGACAGGGACCATGGAGAAAAAGTCCCTCCCATTGTAAGTGAAGATAAAGTTTGTGACCATCTGAGGAACCTGAACATACACAAGTCCATGGGACCTGATGAGATGCATCACAGAGTCCTGAAGAAATTGGCTGATGTATTTGCCAAGCCACTCTCCATGATATTTGAAAAGTCATGGCAATCAGGTGAAGTCCCCGGCAAAGAAGGGAAACATCACACCCATTTCTAAAAAGGGTAGAAAGGAGGACCCCGGGAACTACTGACCTGTCAGCCTCACCTCTGTGCCTGGGAAGATCATGGAACAGATCCTCCTAGAAGATATGCTGAGGCACATGGAGGACAAGGAGGTGATTCAAGACAGCCAGCATGGCTTTACTAGGGGCAAGTTCTGTCTGAACAACCTAGTGGCTTTCTACAATGGGGTAACTGCATCAGTAGACAAGGGAAGAGCTATGGATGTCATCTATCTGGATTTCTGCAAGGCCTTTGACACAGTCCCCTACAACTTCCTTCTAAGTTGGAGAGGTATGGATTTGATGGGGGGACTGCTCAGTGGACAAGTGGTCACATCCAGAGAGTAGTGGTCAATGGCTCGACATCCAGATGGAAGACGAGTGGTATCCCTCAAGGCTCCGTGCTGGGACAGTGCTGTTTAATATCTTCATTAATGATATTGACAGTGGGACTGAGTGCACCCTCAGCAAGTTCACTGATGATACCAAGCTGGGTGGTGAGGTTAATGTGCCAGAGGGAAGGGATGCCCTCTAGAGGCACCTGGACAAGCTCGACAGGTGGGCCAGGTGAACCTCATGAGGTTCAACAAGGCCAAGTGCAGAGTCCTGCACCTGAGTTGGAACAATTCCTATTACCAATACAGACTGGGAGATGATGTGCTGGAAAGCAGCCCTGAAGAAAAGGACTTGGTACTGGTGGATGAGAAGCTGGACATGAGCCACCAATGTGCATCTGCAGCCCAGAAGGTCAACCGCATCCTGGGCTGCATCACAAGAAGTGTGGCCAGTAGACTGAGGGAGGCGATTCTGCCCCTCTACTCTGCTCTGGTGAGACCCCACCTAAAGTACTGTGTCCAGCTTTGGAGTCCCCAACACGAAAAGGACATTGAAGTGCTGGAGTGGGTCCAGAGGAGGGCCACAAAGATGATCACAAGATTTTTCTTTTTACTTTCTTTAATTAAATGTCCACAGGCTTCAGGTACAGAAGGGTCTACCTTTATATGATCTGGCCTGTTTTCTTGTGCAATACAGGTCAGAGAATTTTCCCATTTACCCCTACATAGAGATACCCCTTTCCATGCAAGTATTTCCTATGCCTGTCTCTCCTAACATTTAGTTGCTCAAACTAAAGTCTCTGAAAGGCAAAGAATAAAGGAGAAATTCAGAAAATATAGGCAACAGATTAAAGGAATACAAGCTGTGGTTATGTGCACGCTATTATTGTTATTTGGAATATTTAACTGTTCAGTTACACACATGGAACACTCAGCATATACTGTCTTTTCATTTTTTTTACCAGGAAGCCCTAGGCAGAAGCTATCACACTCAAAGGGAAGGCCATAGCAGAAAGGCCGTGAACACTGTAGAGCCATTTATGTCCAAAGTAGGCAGAGCAGAGAAAGATATTGCTAACAAAGGCACTAGAAATAAGGAAATTCCAACCAAATACCTATAAAATTTGCTGAGTTCTAAAGAGAATAATGATGAAAAGTTCATTTCCTCACACACAAAACCAAAAGCAGCAGCAAAAATAATAAATAATATTAAAAATATAAAATACAAAAATAATAGTTTCTGAAAATAACCTTCAAAATATCAAGAAGAGAATGTAGCAGCATTCAGAAGGCAAATGAAGAGGCTATGGGGGATGGGTAATGAAGAAAGTATTCTGAATGTGTAGTATGTATATGTATGCATATGCGTTGTATACATGAGACAAATCAGTACTATTGACTATCATAATCAGGCTTAAATAAATTATTAAAGTGCATAATCACAGAGGACCAGAACAGAGAAAAGACAAATAATGAGTGAAATATCAAGTTAAGAAATGAAAAACAAAAGGAAAAGTTATGAGAGTAGTTAACAAAGCAAAGATAAAATAGAAATATATTGAGCTTCAAAAAATACTTTATTCAGAGGCATTAAAAATTAGCATACTCCATTAAATGTAATAAATACTACAACATCATCACACTAAATTTCTCTATAATCTGTTTTACAAGAAGTGTGAAGTAAAGACTCACTCCTAAAATCTTGTAAGTCATAGTTACTTACTCTTAATTTTCGGCTTTGCTTTCTAACCAGTTTGCCATGTTGAATGAAATGAACTGGGCATTGGTTCATTGCATTGTCAGCTTTATGTCGAAGCCAATCTTCATAACCCTAGAAGAGAGTGAAATGGAATGATGCAATGATGCGTATTTGGCTATAAAGACACAGAAGAGCTCTAGCTTGCAACAAGAATTAAAAAAAAAAATATCCTTCATCAAGATACGGAAAACAACAGAAAATATTCTCACTAGAACAAAAGAAATTGTGATACGTGTCAGTAAAACAGTCATGCTGGACATATATGAAACAGAGTATTCACGGTTATAATTAGTCAGCTAAATTACATATTTTAATGAAGACATTAAAGACAAGAATAATAATGTTCTTTTTAGTTACAATTTTGCTCACCTGTTTGATAGCTGTAACTGTGATGACAAATAAAAGTGGAAGTCCACTTGTGACTGGACTAGTAGGTGTATCAATAATTAACTGCAACAAAAGGAACAAGGATTTTCTGGTTATATTTTTGTGAATGTAAAAAGTCAATTTTTCAAGCAAGATGTTTCAACTAATCTTTTCAGCAATATGTTACACAGCACTAAACTTTAATTAAAAAATAGCAGTTTAATACAAAATTTGAAAAATAACTATATGCCACAATAAAGATACAATACTACATTTAGATCACATTAACATTCAGATGTTAATGCCTAGTAAAAATACTTATTTGCAAGAGTTTATGTTAAGTACCAGACTGGAAAGCTGCAGCTTTGGAGGCAAAATTATTGACTAGTATTAGAAATTAGCACAGGGCTGTTTTCACATGTTATACAACACAGCTGTGCTTATACATGCAAGGAGTAAATCCTGAAATATTGAGCTGTGGCTTCTGTAATTATATACAAAGAGGTAGACTCCACAGAGGGAGTTCAGATAATAATGAAACCGCTCTGGGAATCCACATAGCTTTTCTTTCTGCACAAACTGGTGTACAAAGTAATACAGCTTTTCACTTAACTTCATAGGATTTTTACTGCTTAACACATTTAAGTGATAGCAAAAGGTTGACAATCAAGACACCTAGAAAGCAGCAAACTAGTGACCTGAGGTAACAATTACAAAACCAAATATTTCTATACCACCCTAAGCAAGCATTGTATAAGCGTCTGTATTTTGGTTTCTCTACAGATTTTGATGACAGCGCAGTTGGAAAATTTCTGCCCAGGTGTCATTCTGTTATAAAAAATGAAACAGTTAGCAAAATAAATAAAAAATTATCCTCCACATAATTTATAACGATGGTTTTACTGATCTGGATGTTTTTTTATTACAAATTAAAAATTAAAAAATTACACTCATTCTTTCCAATTTTATCAAGAGATGTCTTGCCATCAAACCAGTGACAGCATCAATTTCTATTTACATTAGACTCACATTTACCACCTGGAAATGAAATAAAACTCCTTTCATCACATTATGAATGTAAAAGGCTATCTAAGCTCAACCATTATCTCTCCAGTCTTCAAAACCAGGGGATTTTAAAACCTTTTTCAACTCCTTGGTTTTTCAGGAAGAGTCCACAAATTTATTAAATTGGGATAGCTTACCTGAACAAGGAAAATTATGAGAAAATAGAAGTTCGCTATTCTTCTGAATTGCTCAAACAAATTTTTCGGTACAAAGTTCCAAAATGTGTACTGAAAACAAATGCGCAGATTATCAGTGTTTGTGAGAGAAGTATGTTCTAAAATCAAACAGTTTTGTAATTCACAATTCAAGATTAAACTGAACAAAAAGCGGTGGTATTTCTGTTATTTTGTTTATTAATCTACTGAAATGTAATCTGAAGTTGGCAATCTGATTCTTGGAATCATATGAATTGCCTCAGGATTTTCTGAACTGTGATAATCTTGGTGCTAGGGACTGAAATAATTTTTGATTAGCAACAATACTCACTGAGAAATTTAGTTATAGAACAGTTCAGTTAAATGAAAGGATTTTAAGAACACCCTAGTCAGTCACTTCTAACACTGCTTTTAATTCACTTACATTTCGTACGCATGACTTGAGGAGGCAGGTGGCACTCTGAGAGTTAACTATTCTGTCATACAAAAATAACTATTCTGACCATATAAAAGTTGTCACCACCTTTTCTCTTCCTTGGCTTGGACACAAGCATACTCCTCAGAATAAACTATAGCACTGTATAAGAGCTTATGGTTGCATATTTATCTACTGATCTCACAGGTTATCTAAAATTCAATCCAATGATACAAATAACAGTATATAAAGTGCAAACAGAAAATGCAAACACTTCAAAGGAAAAAAAATCATCTAAAAGTGAGAGATAAAGGGCCTTATATCATCTAGTCCTTCCTCTGCCCTGCAGCAGTTTCAAGTATACTCTTTTTATACAGCTCATCCTGTAGGTCCAAAAAAATTTGAGAGGATTACTTATTGGAACACATGTAAAAATGTCAGCTAAAACTGTGTGAAAAGGTGTGGAAAATGGCTTGAGAAAACTAATATTGTATCATCTTATTATCCAAATTATCATTCGACACATAATAAAACGACGACGGCGCCAATGTAACTTTCATTTCAAAGGAGACAGACTAAGAAGCTTCTCTTAATTATTTGCTCTGCTACAAATGCGCCTTCTCCCTGCCAGATTGCACTGACACTTGCTGATACACAAATTATGCCATGAGTCATACATATTCTGAATTTGGCCCTGAAAGCAAAGCCAGACAGAACCCTAGAAGGAAAATGCCTTTATTCCACCCACAGATAAGAAGGATCCCCAAGAAACATGCCTCAGTTGTACATGAAACCCCTGCTATGCAGAGCCATCTTTCTACTTGTTTGGGGTTAAAGCTTGGACATGTGTAGGTTGTGGGAATAAAACGTTCCTTTTGTGCCAAAAACACGTACCTATTCTAAATATGCCCTGAGTGAATATTTATCCTACTTAACAGTTACGTCAATATTAAATCACCTGTGAGCAGAACAAAGCTAAGACAGGCACAGGTACAACAGCTGGCAAGTCAAGTGCTCTCATCTTGCACTCTGAATACTTCTCACCAGACTGGAATGCTGCTTGCACTGCCCACTGCCCACTGCCCAGCCACTTATCTTGGGATTTCCAAACAGAACTGGTTAGACTGGATTATCTGCCCTTGCATTCAAAGCTGCTGCTGTGATACGTGACAACAGATATTCTACGATAATGTTAGGGGTTTTATTTTCATAATTAACTTTGATTATCAGGCAAATTATCTCTGTTTTCTAATCTTAAGCATTTATTTCTTTATGAATCTCTGCAGGCTGAAAATGAATAGACGCTTCAGTGAAAATCCTTTGTTTTCATTTTTCTGTTTAGCTCTTTTGACAGAACAAGTGCTTTTTCCATGTGAAAGGGTTTTTTGATGGTTAAAGTTTGGTGGTTTATACAAGCTCCCCAGATGATCATTCATAGAATAAAATGTATTCTCTTAAGGATTAACTTTCTGTTTAAATCTGCTAGAGGGTTATTTGAATAAACATGTGGCAACACCATATCATTGTAGATATTTCAAACACCTGATTGAGGAACTCGAGTAAATTAGTTAAACAACAATCTATAAAAAGACTGAATGGCCATCTTTACACTTAGCATTTGATCCTCCTCATACTCCAACCTCAGTTCACTGCTTTCCCTGTCAAGCAATGGTCTTTCCTGCAGCTCCACCTTTCATCAGCAACTCAAGACCTGAATAAGCGCCAATAGCCCAGGAGCAGATCACTTCTATGGTCTGAGAGGTGTTACTTAAAATGGGAGAACGTCTTAAAACTTTATTTTCAATTAACCTAATCAAGTTTTCACATGTTATTACACTGAATTTCAGAGAAATAAAGTACATCTTTATTCTGCTGTCTGGGTTTGAGCTAAATAGAACTAATTTTCACTTTAGTGATTTTACTTTTCAGCTCAGTCTCTTCTAAGTGGCTGAACTAGGGTGAAACTAGCAGCATGTTTTTCCAGACAGTGTGTACTGCTACAAGTGATAATCAAAAGGTCACTGTCTCACCATGGGTGCCGTATCTGGATCTATGGGGAGGAGCAGACCCAAAACTGACCAACTGGGTATTCCATCCCACATACGTCATACTAGCATAAAGCTGAGAGATCACGAGGGTCTCACCCCTTCTGTCTTGGACCCTTCCTCCCGTCTCGACTCCTTCAATGGGTGAAGTCCGAGCAGAACCCTGCTAGTTCATGTCTCTGATCCTGATTCATGTGTTCCTGCTTCCTGCTCTCACCTGCTGCTGAGTCTGGACTGGGACTTTTCCAGTCCCCTGCTCCGCAGAGCTTCTGGTGACATATTCGTCATTGGGGGAGAGTGGGGGGAGGATTTTATATTGGTTTTGTATATATTTGTACGTATTTGTATATATATATTTCATTACTTTCCTATTTTCATTATTAATCTGCAGTATTAGTAGTATTGTTTCATTAAATCTGTTGGGTTTTTTTTTCCAACCCGTAAAGTCTCTCTCCCTTATTCTCTTTTCCCTTCTGAGGAGGGGAGAGAGGTTAATAGAGAGCGTCTGTCCAGGATTTAGTGGCCAGCCCAGCCTTAAACCATGACATCTGCCCATTTTTTTTCAAAGGACAAGTAACAATTTTTGAAGAAGTTCAGGCAAGAAAGACAGACCACTAAGATGTCTAGACAGACCTCCCCCTGCCCCAGGCATCATGAACAGTATGTACAAATGGATGATTAATGTTTAACCACCATAATCGCTCCCAGGAGAAACAACAGAGCGGCTGCCACTCAGAACAAGGTTTATCTCCTGATTGCATTCAAGGCAGTTTCTCTACCCTTTACAAAAGATTATTGTGCCCAGAAAGAGAGTTAATACCATCTCTCTTCAGATAATTTCTAGTCATGATCTTGGTAAATTCTGAAAAGCAGTTTATGTATATTTAACTACCTTTTTTCACTATAACTCACTTGAAGGAAATAAGTTTATCCAAATAGTTAGCAACTGAAGCTTTTAGGGTGCTTTTTCAATTGCCGCAAAAGACTTTGAGGCCAGAGCACATACATGTCTCTTGTGTACAGGAGGTCAGACAAGTAAGAGTTACGTATTCATCCGAGAGATGAATCATAGAATGGTTTGGGTTGGAAGGG